CCCCCCCCCCCCCCCAAAGGTGATATCTCACCAGACATCCTGCCTCTGACCAGCGACTCTTGCGGCTGGGCGAAAGGGATCCGGTCGAGCAGCAGTCGCAGTCATGGTTCGGACTCCGGGGAAGTGTATGCGGGGTAGCAAAGAGGATCGATAGGTACAGGATATGGAAGGAAGAGTGGCAGGTTTCTGAAGAGTGACAGAAGATAGTGAAAAAGGAAGAGAATATCTGAAGAGAGCAGGCATGGGAGTCACACAGAAGAGAAAAGAGTGGTTATAGGCTCATTAGAATTCACGCAATCAATTATGGCTCTGGTGGGACAAGCCCGGGTTGATTCCTGCACTATGCCGGGATAGCAGCCACCCAGCCAATTGTGGCCCAGAATGGCGTATCAATGCAGATATGGTGCCAATTTTGAAAGAGAATGAGGCATTTGCTTTCAATTATTCCAAATCCAACGCTTTGTGACGCTTTCGTCCGTATTGCAGCCACTCAGGCACCAAGGTGTCAATCGATAGAGCAATTACTAATTATCACGTGACCTCCTGTTAGCACGCGTTTGGACGCGTCAAGATGGCAGTTCGATAATATCTTCACCAGAAAAGCTGCTTTTGCATTGTATTATTCCTGTCTGACCGTCTCGATGGTCCAGGCAAGATGGTATCTTGTCCCATTTGCAGGAATTCTGTCCCGCCGTTGAAAATAAACGACCATATCGATTCCAACTGCCAGAGTTTCATTGGCGAACCAGCCTCCGATCCCCCATCGTCCCAGAAAGGGAACGTTCCCAGTTTCTTCCAACCTACATCTGCTCGAAAAGCGTCTGCGCAAGCCAGCTTACAGAAGGAATCGTCACAGTCCGATGCGTCACCTCTGCGGAGCGTTAACGGAAAGAGAACCCACGAAACAGACTCCCCGCTGGAACGGAATAAAACAAGGCCAGATGACTTCTCGACAGAGGCGCAGACGCAGCCGAAACGACCAAAGACGAATGCATTCCAAAGAGCCGCGCCGCTAGCAGAGCGTATGCGTCCCGGCACATTGGATGATGTTTGTGGCCAGGAGCTGGTTGGACCAAATGGCGTCCTCCGCGGGCTTATCGAGCAGGATCGGGTCCCAAGCATGATTCTCTGGGGTGGTCCTGGGACGGGCAAGACAACAATTGCGAGGGTAATTGCCTCGATGGTGGGCAGCCGGTTTGTAGAGATCAACAGCACCAGCACAGGAGTTGCGGAGTGCAAAAAGATCTTCTCGGATGCCAGGAGTGAATTAAGCCTCACTGGCAGAAAGACAATTGTGTTCTGTGACGAGATACATCGCTTCTCCAAGTCGCAACAAGACGTCTGGTTAGGGCCCGTGGAAAGCGGGCAAGTCACGCTCATAGGCGCGACAACGGAAAATCCGTCATTCAAAGTCCAAAGCGCATTGCTCTCCAGGTGCAGGACGTTTACTTTGTCCAAACTCGCCGACGAAGAGGTCGAGTCGATCCTTTTTCGGGCTCTCAGGGTCGAAAGACAAAACTATTCGCCCTCAGAATTGGTGGACGAAGAACTGGTCAAGTACCTTGCAAGATTTGCAAATGGTGACGCGCGAACCTCCCTTAACCTGCTGGAGCTTGCGATGGACCTGTCAAAGCGTCCTTCAATCACAAAAGATGAGCTCAAGCGGTCGTTGACCAAAACGCTGGTGTACGATAGGGCAGGAGATCAACATTATGATACCATATCAGCCTTTCACAAGTCCCTTCGTGGCAGCGATCCAGATGCAGCACTATATTACCTCGCACGGATGATCCAATCTGGAGAGGATCCGTTGTACATAGCAAGACGTCTCATCGTTGTTGCATCAGAGGACATCGGTCTGGCGGATAATTCGATGTTAACGCTGGCCATCTCAACACATTCTGCCGTGGAAAAAATCGGCCTTCCTGAAGCACGAATCAATCTAGCACATGCTACAGTGGCCATGGCGCTGTCGAAAAAAAGTACTCGCTCTTATCGTGGCCTTAACAATGCATTTGCTGCCTTAAATGAACCGGGGGTTGCCGGACTACCAATCCCCATACATTTGAGAAATGCTCCCACACGATTGATGAAAGAATTGGGCTATGGCAAGGAATACAAATACAACCCCAATTATGTTGATGGCCAGGTCGTGCAGGATTATGTTCCTGAGACTCTGCATGGCCGGCGGTTCCTTGAGGACAGGGATCTAGGCACGGCGATTGACCACGACTTGAATAACTGATCTTGTAATAGATATTAGGCTACTAGGACTTTGCTATCTTTTGGTCAATGACGATTAATGACACCGCATACTGAGTATCTCGAGGTACAGTCATTATAGCCTGACAGGCAGCCGTTCGCTTAGCAAGTATAATCGCCTCTCTACCTCGACAATAGTCTTCCATCTTTCATCCTTTTCTGCATTTCTCATTAGGGTGGTTTTGCTCGCTTTCCAACTAGCAACTGCTCTGTTTTGCTCTACTTGCTCTACTTGCTCTAGCATCGACTCCACTACCCGGTGTCGTTCGCTTTTCGACGCTTTATTTCGTTCGTTCAGGCCATCGACTAGGCTTCTTTTGCTCTGATACAACAAGTCGACCTTTTCATCACTCATGGCATCTGAACTGACATTCGCTCAACCTCAGCCCGTTCAGTTTACTGACAATCAATATTCTGCAGTAAGTCCTCTGATCCCCTACGATTCTATTCCCAGCTAACTCTCTCCCTATAGCCCAGCATGGAGCAACATTATCAAGGCTCCAACGGATGTCCATCTGGCTATCTGCCAGCTGATTGCTTCGAACCAGATGGTCAGTTGAATGCCGCTTTTAACTCGGATGCTTACATACAAGACAGTACATCCGGCTACAACAATATGGGCACGCAAGGCTACGCTGGCGTGTCTAATGAAATGGGGCCAAGACAAGCTGACGCCACCTCTGTGGACCAGGGACTCGATCCATTCGAGCTCGAACTTCATGCTTCTCTTGCAGAGATGGGTACTAACGAGGGTTCAAGCTGCGTTCCTGAGCCCCAAGATCTCACTGCCATGCCGGTTGAAATGGCGGCGGAACCACAGGCCAGTATCAATGTACCTGGCTCTCAAGGTTCCGCTGCCATGCCGAATGAGATGGTAACAGGACCAGAAACCAGCACTGTGGGCAAGGACGACCTGCAGGTCTGGGATGCTGGGATGGGTGAATGGAGAGCAATCGAAGCTCATCCTCACCCTACATCTATGGGTCAGTGTGCAAGCATCGTGCCTGGCCCTCAGGTTCCTGCTCCCACAAATTACATGGCAGTGGGACCACAAATGAATGCCGAGGCAATGGGCCAGGATAGCCCTCAACCTACGGCTGCTTTCTTCAGGGCGTGGCAAGCACGTATGAAAGCTGTCAAGACTCGCCGGGAACCTAAGGAGAGACGTTCACGCAATTTGCTTCGCTCTCGAAGGTCTGCTGGCGTGGGGGTAATGACAGGCATGCCTAGTGGAATGGGGCCAGGACTACAAACTGGTACCAACTATATGAGCCAGGGTTTTAACACACCTAGTCAAACTTTCACTGGCATGCCTAACGGAATGGCGGGACAAGCCGGTTTTACTGGGAATGGTGTAAATCCCCAACCCAGCCCTACGTGCGGGTTCCAGAATTACACCCCCAACAACCACAACCAGGCACCGCCACAACAAAACTCGCCCGGTCGCAAGAGAACGTCTTCCACAACTTTCGTGATGGAAGACCCAAGTGCTCCGCCTGAGAAGCGAGCTCGTTTCAGCAGCGAAGACGAGCAAAAAGCACGGGAAGAACAACGGTTGATGAAGGAGGCAGGAGGCTCGTGTCTGTGGTGCTACCGCAACAAGAAGAAGTGCGACTCCATGAATCCATGCTCGAACTGCAAGTCCAATAAATACAAGTGTATCCGGGACCATGCACAGCTGATTCTGTCGTCGTCGACAAGTAACGTGACAGACGTCTTCCGCCAGCTACGCGACACAGCCATGCGATCGTCGCCGGAAGCTCATATCAACGTCAACTTCAGACAACCGGGAACGGGGACGATCGCATTCTGGTCCGCCAGTCTGCCTCGAGCTGAGTCATATTCCCCAGGCTACGTAAACGAGCAACTTGTCTCGACGTTGCTGGGGTTGGTCAGAGCACCGGGACTGGACTGGATTGAGAACGAGACAGCACGACACCCTCTCGTCCTATCAGCATCGGCCATGGTCAGACTCCTCGCCGTCATCAAGTCTCTGCTCAGAGGACAAGTCTACGTTCGTCCGGCCGAAGCAGACGCAGGGAGGATCACGGCGTTCTACATGTTAACGGCTTGCATCCAGAGCCTCCTCGAAAGATCACAGGCCTTCTCCCCTAAACTCTGGGAGGCAGTCCGCCACAAAACCAAACCTGCCCCCGATAGCAGGAACCTGACCAGGAAGCCCCTAAACCCAGAATGGGTAGCAACGGGTCTCTACTATCGCGTCATCGATGGCCTCCGGACTATGCAGCGAACCCCCCTCTTGGAAAAGGCCCTCGGTGACGTCTCCCACCTGCACCACCACCCAGCAAACGTCTTGAGCGTGCTGAGATGCCTCCCCTTGTCCACCGGCAAGCTAAACAGTAAGATCAAGGCCCACAACTCCCTCCGTGAGCACATCCCTGTCCTGGAAGAGCAGTGGCCGCTCGACATCGCGCTGTTACCAGGTGTCAACACCAATGGCCAGCAGCTGCCTCCTACAGTGATGCAGCGACTGGCAGAGCCGTTCTCGGGGGCATCGTACGATATGGAGGCCTTTTTGGATGGTAACTTCGGTTTCCTGTCCGCCATAACCACGGCACTCTCGGCCACACCCAGCAACAGCAACATTAACCAGTCCAATGAACCGGACCTGGATTGGGACTCCTTTTTGGACTTTGACGCATCTCAGTCGTCGGAGCCATCGGCGTCTCAGTCCTCAACGCCGTCTACTAAGACCCTTATGAGCTTTCAGGAGAATGTGCTGATTGTTGAGGATGGGGTTTTGGATGATCGGTTTTTGAATGTTTGGGATAACTTGGATGGTTTTGATGGGAACAGTGCTGCTTTTTCTTTTTGATCTTTGGGATACAGTTTGGATTAGATATTTACATTACAACGTTACATGGTTTGCGCAGGAACGCCATTGATACAATCCGCATTTGTGAGAATTCAAATGAGACATGATTTATGATCTTTGGTTATTGCACCGTACTTTGTACTTGTTGTAGCTATAGTAGGGCTGTTATGTACTTATGCCGTCGTCGAGCATCACGTCCGAGTGAAGCCAAGAAAGAAGATGAAAAAAAAGAAAAGAAGAAAACCATATATAATAAACATTCAATTGACTATTATCATTCATATCCTGCCCTGGAAATATCCCATTGACATCGCCTGCATCTCGTACTACTGACTTTGTTTGCTCGGCCCCCCGCCCGCTAACCATCCCAGCCGGAGTGATCAACAACAACAAAACACCCGAACCGCAACCTAATCCGCACCTACTCTCCAACCACCACCCACACTGATTACACCAACCAACCAGCCACTTCCATTCCAACCGCAATCGCAAACGACTGGAATTGTAATGGCCCAACCCTTCGCCTCGCGCTCCTACGCGGGCGGCAAACTCCCCGACCGCTCCGTCAACGCGAACGCGCTACCCTTCAGCGCCTCCTCGTTCTCGCGTCACCGCGGCCTAGGCGCGACGACCGCCACGGCTCCGGGTGATTTTGGCGCGGAGGGATTAAAATCGCAAGGTGCGGCTGGTGCGGCTCCGTTACATGCGCAGACACATGGGCCGGGGACGGGGGTAGGGACGGGAGTTGGTGCTGGGGCAGGGCCGTCGCAGGAGACGAATCCGTTGAGTCGGTTGACGGAGGAGCAGAGGGAGGAGATTAATGAGGCTGTATGCCCCCCCTCGCCCTTCAAAACAGACTGAGATAGAGAGGAAAGGCTAACATGGTGGTAGTTTACGTTGTTCGACCTCGACCGCGACCGCCACCTCGACTACCACGAACTCCGCGTCGCCTTCCGCGCGCTAGGCTTCACCCTCGCAAAACAAGAACTCATCTCCCTCCTAACAACCTACGGCGTCCCACGGCCACAAGTCCAAGCACAACAACAATCCAACACCCAGACACAACCCCCGCAACCCTCAACAAACAAAGCAACAAACCCGCAACACCCCTCTAACCTCCTCATGCCACTAACAGCCTTCCAAGCGGTGACTGCGTTGAAGATACTAGAGCGCGATCCGAGGGACGAGATTCTCCGTGCGTTTGAGCTGTTTGATGAGGGTGGGAAGGGGTATATTGATTTGGAGGATTTGAGGCGCGTTGCTAGGGAACTTGGGGAGACGGGGTTGGAGGAAGATGAGTTGAGGGCTATGATCGAGGAGTTTGATTTGGAGGGGGTTGGGGGTGTGACGAGGGAGGCGTTTGTTAGTATTTGTTGGCAGTAACGCTTTCTCATCTGGTTGGGTTTGATTGTGTTTGGGTTTCTGTTTTCTGGTTGTGCATGGGCATTGGGTGGGCGTATCTGTGCTCTATTTGGTTTATTACTTATTCTCAGGGATTGTATCTGGTAGATGGGTTTCAATGTCATGGTTATTGCATACTTTGTACGGCTGAAGATAATCAAGCTAAGTAATGGCATTTTAGGGAATCCAAACCAGGATACCATGCAGGATATTAAACTATTTAGCACATAAATCACCCAGATAACCCTCGTACGCCAACAATTATCCACCCTAAATGACAGCAACATATATCACATAAATGTACACAAAGTACAGGTGCAAAAGAAAAGAAAACAATCACGCATATCGCGTGTGCACCGCCGGCGCCGGATTAGCATAATACGGCCCCGGATACGGCGGTGGAGGCTCATTAGCAAGGCCCTGATACCCAGCACCGTTAGGCCCGTTGGCCCATTGTCCCATCGACGGTCGCGGCGGTGGTGGCATCGGTCTCTGCCAGCCACCCGGCGGTGGTACCGGTACCGGCACGGGCTTAGCTCGGTGACGGCGACAGCGGTTGAACAGACAAGACAAGATCGCGAGAAGGATCAGTCCACCGACAGCACAGCAGATACCAATTACCACGCCCTTGTGTTTGTCGACCCAGGATTTAATCTCTCCGCCAACAGAGGTGCCCGCGCACTTTCCGTTCTTGCAGTGGCCTCCGCCTCCACATGGTGTGCCGTCGATGAAGTTGTTCTGCTCCAGGATCGAGCAAGAGTTCGGGCCCGTGGTGTCAGATGCGCAAACCACGGTGCAGGAGGAATCGTCGCATGCCCATGTGTCGTTGCTGTTCAACAGGCTGCCCATCAGGGACTTGCATTGTTGATCCCGGCTGGTACACTGGCCACTGGCGCAGGTCAAGCCCGATCCACTGCCACAGCTGGAGCCATCATCCTTGTAACTGTCCGAAGGACAAGCGCTCGAGTTGCCACTGCACTTCTCCTCGATGTCGCATTCGCCACGGCTTGCGCGACAAACGGTATCCGCAGACGAATATTGACAGTCGCTACAGCAGCCATCATTGGCATCGTCACAGACAGCGTTGTTCTTGAATTTGCACGTTTTGGCATCGCAGCAGTTGTTGCTTCCACAGGAGTCTTCACCGCCACAGTCACAATCCTCTCCGTCCTCGACGATGCCATTGCCACACTGGCTACCTGTGATGGTAGTAACTCCCTTGTTTTGAGAGAGACAGCTCGATGAGACACTGTTTCCACCTAGCGCTGAGCAGATGTTTCCGATGGTACAGGGTGAGAAATGTTTCACGTCCTGTGCGCTTGGGTTCATGATGTACTTCGCGTCCGCATCGCAAGTAGAGCTCGAAAGAGGACAGCACTGCGACGAGCTATCGTAACCCTGCGCACAGGTGCTAGAATCACAGTCGTGAACGGCTCCAAACGTATGGCCCGACTCATGGGCAAAGACCTGCCAGCCACCACCCGACGTCCGAACAACGATGTTGGTTCCACTGACAATGCTCGAGCCTTGGTCCGACGCGTCGGAATTGCAAAGCTGCCCCAACCACGAGAGTCCAACTTCGCTGCCGGTAGGGCAACCGCTCATCAAGGTCCAGTAGGCGTTGCTGTCCTTGTTGTCTCCCCGCCACTGGGAGAATAGGTTTAATCTGGAGGAGACGTTGCCTTGATCGCACGGTATATTCCACTTGGTCGATTCCGGTGCAGTCGTGGGGCAGTCGGCATCATTGACAGTCAGGTTACGAAGGCCAATGGAGATGTTAAACGAGCTCTCGTAGACGCTAGAGGCACTGTTGACCGTGTTGATGATCCATTCACGCGCCGTTTGATTGTCGCTGAACCCAGAGGTAAAGGAGCAGTCGGTTGCAATACCGATCAGCGCAACTTGCTTCGTGTTGGGACACCCAGACGTGTCGTCAATGGTGCTCTTCAAGTTGGCGTTACCGGTGTTACCCGATACGCCACCAATGTCCGACTGACGCTTGCTGAGTCCGAACATAGAGTTCAAAGACATGGCACCCCATCGACTCGACTCCCCATAGTCGTAGGCGCGGAGGACGGGATGGTCGGGATCGGTGTTGAAGCCCAACTGGTCAGCCTGACATGTTGCCGCCTCGCCAAAAGAACGTTTCAGTTCAGAGTGCTGTACGTGGCGTACCATGTCCGAGTCACGGTAGACAATCATGAAATCCTCCGATCGCTGCGCGATTGCGATATCATCCTCGCGCTTCTTCGAAAGATACGTTGACGAGAGTTCGATATGGTGATGGTCGCCATGGACAAGGAACGCCCCTTCAAACAAGGGCTTAACGCCGTCTCTCTTCATGTAAACCCGGGCCCAACCCACGGGGTTCCATCGCCCTGGTCCAGTGCCGACCAATGCTCTGCCCTTGAAGACCTTGTGTTCATGCCGCTGAATGGGTTCCGCCCGATGCACGTTTCCTTCCTTATCCAGGTATTGCACGTAGGCGTCATCGGCCAAGATATCGTGGTTTGGTTCCAGCTCGAGTTTTATCCGCTGGGTACCGCTATGGAGACTAAACGTGAGGTCGAAATGGGAAAGATGGTCGATTTGGTGCGACGGTGCCTTGATCACCGGATGGAGCACCGAGGAGACATGTCTGATGGCTTTGGGGGCCTGCGATCGGGCTGTGGAGAGAATCGGTTAGCCATCAGGACGGATGTAACAAGACGATCTATAAAAAGAACACCCACCTTCGACGTCACCTACGAACAACGCTGGGATCACACTTGCGACCAAGGGCAAGATCTTCCTAAACAACCTCATCGCCGAACAAAATCTCCTGAGGAGAGCTGGGGGGGGAGTTGATGGGGAAACGAAGGGAGAAAAAGAAAATATCAGAGAATCAGGCAGCCATATAACATATCAAGAACCCTGAATTGCAAACAAAGCGGTCGTTCTTGGTATTTGAAGTGTTCGTTCAAAGCGAATCGAGACGCGCACAACGAGAGTCGGTAAGCAAAGAAAGAAACAAGCGGATTATTAGACTTTGGTATATGTCAGATGTACGCTGTCTTTGTGTATGCCTGCCGCTGGTCTGTTTTGTCCGAACCGCCGGTTGGGATGAGGCGCAGCAGACTTGGCTGGGGGCAAGTCTGCGATGGAGAGATTGCGATGAAACGTAGCGAGTGACAGTGAAAGAACGATAAAAAGACAAATATGGAGAGAGGATGGACAGGATTGAATGGAATTGGAATGGTTGGAGATGGAGCCCGGAACACGCGGAGAGCCTTACAAGTAGTGGCACGTGATTTACCAGGGTCGGTCACGTGTCAGGCATCCCAGGGACAAGAATGATAATCCTTGGTTCGGCGTTTATACGGCCTATCAATCTTCTACGACTAATCCGGCGCTTGGTGATACACTTCATGAGCCTCCAGAGCCAAATAAGGAATCATCCCGCCACAAATCCTGCATGGTACACTCGGCATGACTTCGTCCTCGTCGCTCTCATCCCACGTAGGCTCATCTGCATGGATAGTCACATCCTCAGCAGGAATGCGGACTGGTTCCTGTCTCTGAAACATAGACCCGATATCTCGCCCGCTGTTTTGTTTTTTGTCTCCCGCAGTGTCAACCATGTTAGTCACGGCGATATTTAGTAGACTCAAATTCCACCCAGACTTCTCCGGGTGAAGACGCCGAAATAGGGCCAAGGCATGTTCCTGCACTAGCTTCTCAGCTACAGCCTCAATCCGACCATTCATGTTGAAGACGTAACGGGGCAGTGCCGCAGAACGGGACATGCGATTGTGATAAGGATTGTCCGGCTTGGAAGGACGACGGGGTCGGCTAGTCAGACGCAGGGTTCGCGGATGGGCACGCCATCGGATGGCACCCCCGGCCGAGTTCTCGGTCAGATCTGTGCGCATCCGACGAAGCAAGCTAATCGTTAGCTTCACCAGCTCACTTTTCACAACGTCGAAACGGTCCAGCTGGCCGTAAGAATCTTCAATGCTTATTTGCGTCGGGACGTCTCTGGCTTCTAACACTTCGGAATCGTCGACGCCGTGAATCAGCCCCCAAACCCGTGCACCCATACCCTTCGAAGACCCGGGACCCCCCAAGATGCGGTTGAGTAACCCAGGACCCATCTCAGGCAACAAACGGAGCTCACGCACGGTAAGGGGGCTGTCATCCATCGAGCGAGACATGTGATCATGGAGATTATGCGCAATTTTGAAGCCTATCCCCGGGATCTCACGGATCTCATGACTGTCCACAAAGCGGATGACCTTACTATCAATAGTGACATCTGGTCCCTCACCGACTCCATGAGGTGGCAGAAGCGTGGTCTGGCTCTTGGGTTTATGAACTTTGCCTGCCAATTTTGCCAATAGTTTGTTGGTGGAGATGCCTACTGTGGCTGTGTAGCCCTTGTGAGACTCGAGCTGTTGTCGCAGATAGCCAGCTAAGTGCGAAGCTACTAAGAGCCGCATGTACAGTAGATCTGACTCGGGGGCCAAGAAGTATCCTCGTGTTTCTGGCGAATTGGTTGGGTGCTGATTAACCGGGGGCCATGTAGGACCGTAGAACTCGGTGGCGTTGTAGATGAAACCGATGGTAGGATCCTGACGGTCCAGATGGAAAAACGAATATTCTAAGTCGTTGGTATTCAATAAGTCGACGTTGTAGTCAATCATATCAGTTACGTCAAGGAATAGCTGCATCAACCAGTCAATCTCTCGTATGTCCACCTACTTCCTCTCAGTAGAAGGCTAGTCATGGCTTACCTCGTCAAACCCCAACTTCTCAACACGGTCACCCCAAATTAAGCTCCGCAAATACAGGAAAAGCTCTTTGGACACATCCCGGAACCGGGTGAGGTCCTCCCCCAGAACAATAACCGCATCGGGACACACCCGTTTGGCATCCTGGATACGCTGCAACTTGTACAAGCCCCTCCTCCGGGCTTCATAGTTACATGTCACGACAATCTGTTTCTGTTGGACGGCCAATGGACGCGATTTCAAAGCCGGCTGGTCGGCCTCGAAGACGGCGGCATAGAAACAGTCATAATCCTAGACCGGTGGTCAGTGGTGGCCCAGTGGGGTTTAGACTTTGGGGGTCGAGGATAGTCACAAACCAAGTGGAGGATAATCCGACCATTACCGTCCCTGGAGGCCATGAACAAGAGGATTTTCTGGGTCTGGTGGGAAATTGGAGATATTTTGGTGTGATTTGCGATTAGAGGGCCATCACGTGTGCGGTGGTCTGTGATTGGCGGAAAAGCGGTGGCTGGAATGGGGACAATATTAAACAGAGAGATTAAGAGATGCCACTATTGATTAGTGCCATGGGTCTACCAGCCTCTTTTTTTCAGAGTAGCATACAAGTACAGAGTACTCTGGAGTACGGATACTGCTACTGTTACTGCTACTGTTACTGCTACTGCTACTCCGTACAGTATTAAGTACGCCCCACGTGCTTTTTATAGCGGTGACTAATCAGCGATGGCAAGAACCATTCATTCTATACACAGTAGGGATGAGAATCGTACTCGTATGGAGTACAGAGTAGAGAGTATTTGTAGAGTACAGTACTCTGTAGAGAGCACAGAGAGTGTCATAGTACAGAATACTAGCCGCGTGGCAGTGGATCTGCTCATATATTATGGACCCTCGAAAAGTATGCAGGAAATAGTTAAAAATAACTGATCTATATTTATCCTCACCTTTTTCTCCTCTTGTTTTCACCATTAAATATTATTCTTCCTTCTGTTTCTCTCCGTCTCTCCGTCTCTCCGTCTCTCCAGTCTCTCCAGTCTCTCTTATCTTGTCCTGGATCCCTACTGTCCTCGTGCGGGGTGCACATCTCTCATCATCTCTCTCACTTCCATCTCACCCCTCTGTCTAAGCGCCGCACTATATCACACCTCCACCTGCGCACACACAAATTTTGAATATATTCTTGAAACCCCTCTGATCCTCTATACACACATCACCACCGTCATGCTTGTCGTCCCAATGCCCCCGCAAGCGTCGCATTTGCATCCTCCCTCCAACTCCCCCTCTTCCTACCCTCCACCGTCATCCTCTGCGCCAACAACATCCACTCCCGGCGAGGCGCGCCCCAAGCTCGCCACCAAACCCAAGCTCACTCTCCAAACCTCATCGCTTCCTCGCACATTTGGTCGTTCTACCACTGGCCTGTCTCTCTCGGTGGCAACAGCCTCTCCGACCGTAAACAACACCTTCAAAAATGCCTATGAGCCATGTCCGCCCTCCGCCATCCCCGCCACATCCTCTTCGACGCCGTCTCCGATCAAGACCTCTACTCCTCTGAAGCACTCGAGACAACCCTCGTCCAACAACCCCTACCAACTACCGCTGGGCGTGAAGAGCATCCTGCGCAACTCTCCATTGGATTCCACATCCCACCGCCGGTCGGTCTCGATCGGTGGTGGCAATGGCGCATCGGGATCTCGTCGGGTATTCTTCCCTACCAAGAAACAAGTGACCTTTCGGCAATCACTGGAAGAGGAGATCCGGACCGTGCATTACGTGGCACGGCATTCGGATCTCCTCGCGGAAGAGTCGGATCCAAACAACCAGAACAAGGAGCAGCAGGAGCTGAAGCTGAAGCAAGAACAGCCGGTACAGGAGGGATCGGACTCGGACTCCGATTCGAACTCGAGTCTGGCACCGTCGGATTCCGGCTCGGATGATGACCAGACAAAATCAATTTCCAAATCTGAACGGAGGAAGCGGAAGAGTCTCAGTGCAGAGAGGCAGGTTCGCGCTGCGGCATTACTGGATGGCCTCGAGGGTGATGCGTATGGGATCTCGACGCCACAAACACCCCGCCAGGGTCGTGTCAAGCGTCGTCGCGAATGGACATGGACGCTAGGCTCAGTCGAGGCGCGCAATGAAATCTACGGCCTTCCCCAGACGCCTGAAGAGGCCAAATCTTTCGAGTCGGAAGAAAAGAAACACGAACATGAAAACGAAACAGAAAGCCAGGGGTCATGTGAATCCGACTGGACTTCAGCCTCGTGGTCCGGTTCATCGGTTGCTTCGTTTACGAACAAGCCTGACGAGTTCAAGACTGCATGACACATGACATACAATGACTTGACCATGACTATGACCATGACCACGATATATTATTTTTTTGTTTATTTCTTTTTGAGAGGATTATGAATCATGTTGCTGCATTGCATTGCATTAGTTATATACCCATCAGCATTATTTTTTCGAGAATGCATCATATCTTCTCAACATATACATCATGACCGCAAGGCATCCAAATCGGATTCTCTAATAGGCATCCGCAATATCATAGTAGCCTAGGCTGTACATCGTCCAGATTATCCATTCTTCATCACTACTTCATCCAACTTCGCACTACATTCACCTGAAAACACTACCTACACATCTCAAGAACAAAAACAAAACCATCTACTCACCATGTCCTTCCACAACCACAGAGACAGCTCACCCTCCCTCATCTCAGAGCTCCCCCCAAACTGCACCCCGCAAGCATTCACCACCATGGACTCACTCATCACAGCCGCCCACACCATCCAACCCCAACTAACCACAAACAGCACCGGAAACAAAAACCAATACCTCCTAGTCCAAAACCTGCCCCAGGCAATCATTGATAATCTCATCGAAGACAAGAATGCTCTGGATGGAATCCCCTTCCGTTTCACCTTCGAGGGAAGCACAGGGCTAATCAAGATTATTCCCGCTGAACATACCGCCGTGACAAGAAAGCTAGCAGAGACCATTCTGCAAGAATGTCTTCTTGCCGGCGTCCCAAGCAAAGAGGAGATACACTGGGCTGGAGTTGGTGCCGGTGCCGCTCCTACTACATACAAGGTAGTAACCGGTGCTAACGATAAAGACAAAGGAAAACAGCCCGACGAGAGTTTTCTGCCACTAACCCGGCAGCCGTCTGGCTGGCCGACACTAGTTATCGAGTCTGGTCTCCCAGAGTCTATGCAATGTCTTCGCGAAGATGCGAAATGGTGGTTCGAGAATTCTGCCGGGGCAGTCCACACGGTTCTCATTCTGGGAATCAACACAGATACCAAGACTATCGAGATGGAGAGGTGGCGGTATACTCGCACCTCTGCTTGTGCTGTCGAGGTTCCGGACCTAGCGCAGAGTGTTACTATAACGCCTATGGGGATTGAGGGAGGTGTGCCTGTTAAGATTCCGTTCTGGGAGTTGTTTGGTAGGGCACCGAGGTGGGAAGATGAGGAGAGGGATATTTTACTGGGGGGGGTGAGGGGTTGGTTGATGTTGCTAGGGTTTCGGCCTTCGGGTTAGGGTGGGTTTGCTTTGGGGTGGTGTTTGATTTGGGTTGTTTGGTGGGGTAGGTTGCTTGATGTCTTTAGTGTTAGTGTGATATGAGTATAATGAAATACAGTTATCTCAAAACCAACACAAGTTATTCTACAAGGTCAAATTAACCAGAATCCAACTAACCGAACCACGCAACAATAACTCCCTCTATAAATGACCATAGGGACTGGACTTTCAAAACCTCTATGTATCGACTGAAGTCCACTGCTAACAAATACCTCCTCAGCAATTCTGTCTCTGCTCCCAGGTAGACTTTATCATCTAGAGACCCCGTTTCATAAGGGATAACATGCCCTGACGCCGCTTGGTGTTGTCGGATAGGGTTCGAGTGATCACAACCAGCACATACGCCACCGTTTCTGCCAGGTCCGTATCCAATTAGAGTAAATCTAGGACAGGGAAAATAAGTAAACCTTCCAGCAGCAAGGCATTTGATAATCGAAGACCAGATCTGCTGCCTGGCGACTAGAGTATGGGTTTCTGCACTATCGAGAACAGCTGGATCTTGCAACATCTCATCCAGCAAGCAATGCACCGGAAAAATTTGCTCGGGATCATCCTCGTGCACTGATTGTACGTATATGCACATCACAGTGCGAATTGAACGCATCATTCCCCAAATATGGCTGTAAATAAGAAGCAGTCCTCTTCCCATTGGCGTTCGTTCAATGTATTCTCAACTCAACTTGACTTGGTGGTCATTTTTGCCGGACCTTGTGGTCTGTAGCTGACTTGAAACCACGGAGTGTCCTTCGCTCGTAACTCATCAAGTCCACACACCGCAAGGGCTACTTCCCAGAATCTAGTCACGTCCCTCTTTGGTTTTCTCTGTCCATGAACTGGTCACTTGTCTGTAATCCACCAGAATTGCAACACGGAGTGCTTGTCGCTTTCAGTTTGGGCCTTTACCAGATGCGCAGCTATCATAGTAGATCAGTCGACAGTTCTTGCTCATGGCTGTCAGTTCCTGTATGTCTCTAGAGACAATCTCCGGACATGATTTAAACCACAAAGATTGTACCATAGCTTGTGCTGATATATCAATATATCAGCTGCAAACCGACGCCGAAGTCCGGGCTTTTGACAATTTTTGTCGATGCGTGTGCGAGACGTGGGACGACTGCAGATACAGCAGTATAGAAGAGCAGGATAAGCAAGAGAAGGAAAGAAACATACTCTGCCAAGCTCAATGTAAGGCTTCTCGGTCCTCGGAAAAGTCAATCCTTCTTCTTTCCGTCTTTTAATTCAACAAAACTTTGTCTAGCTTTAAAGAGACTAGGGCTGATTTAGGTAGGGTAAAACGGTAAGACCCTTTTTTATCCTCCAGGAATTTCTTTTACCGTCAACGAGGTGTTTCGTCCCAGTTTCTGAGCCTCTCCTTCCACTCTTCTGAACTGACTGGTCCGTCTGGTTTCCTCTTCCGGCTTCATTGTTGTAAGATTCTGGTTCAGGTCTTTGGGAGTGTATAATATCCCCAATGTTTCTGTCATGTGGGCGCCACCTTCCAGCCCAGGCATACTTGCGCTGGGTATCAATTCCGCATCAGGTTGCGGTTAGAGTTCGATAAAACAATTTTTAAACAGGTGATCGAGGATGGTGGTGTTTTTCTGATAGGTATCTATCAGAAACTAGCACCGGACAACTAATCTCTCCGTCTAGGTCGTACTAGGCTTGGAAAACCCGGTTTGGGTGTTGTTTGTACCCGTGCATCTCCAACCCACCCCTGTGGAGACCATGGGTACATTCTAGAAGGCAACGAAAAAAGACCAGTCAAGTGGTCTACGGTTGCGTAGGTTATGCGTTAGTATATTACATGGGCTCATTGGGGTAAGAGGACTCGCTATACAATCAGCCAGTGTGTAATGCCGGATAGGACTGCATGGATTAGAAACATATACCGTTCGTATCAATAGTGTGTCTTTCAAAATGCGCGTGGAAATGGAGATCAATCGGGATACTTCCCGTAGCCCTATTAGGAGTAAGAACTGCAGTTTTTGTTGCGAGGGCAGTGGGTTGCGGAAATTTAGAGAGAAATTTGCGCATCACATCAGCTTCTTTCTCGAGTCGGTGTGTTCGCTCGAGGACAGTGTAGCTTCACCAAGTATGGACTGTAGTACCTTGATTTCTCCGTTTCGTCTGGGATAGCTGGTAGCTTAGAGATGATATCGTGGGTCACAAAGAACGCCATCATCGCCGTACCCATTTATCTGATCGAGCAGTCCTCCTGGATCTGCTTTGGTTCCAGCCCTAGGAAGTTCTGAATTCTCGAACCACTACCTTGCGTCTTGTCGCAGACATTTCAGTGACTAACACTTTCTCCACTACCAGCGTGGGCCAACCATCTGGCTGTGTTTCTCTTGACAGCGTACCAAGTATGATCTGATAATCTTTCTCGGATCTATGGTAGTCATAATCGGTATGTAGCTGTTCTCTATTCTTGTTGCCCTCATAATTCGCATGGAGCAACAGTGGCTCTATCTTCGTATCATCTTGTAAGCTTCTTGTCTTGGTTGTAGCCCTTACAACATTCAGAGAGTTTGATAACGATCGATATCCCCTGAGGTTTTTTGGTGTAAGCCATGAAAACATATCTCTCATGTGTCTTTCTCCGAGCAAAGCTATACTCAAGAGTAACGCTGCTTTCCAGACAAGGTTCATAATGGGGCCTTTATTATCACCATAAGCCTCTGTTATCTGTTATTGCCCGCAAAGAACAGCGATGGGCAAAAAACAGACTGTGTTCCAATGATCACAGAATGAAGGGAGTGCTGTTCCCACCTCATTCTCATCTGGTACCTCTAGTGTCGGTACTTTGCTTTCGCTTCTCAGTTCTCATACCCCTGCTGGCTTTCCTATACTCAGCGGGGTAACTTACCGAACAGTTCTTTGAGAATGTTCGGAATTCTTGAGCCACCACTGTACGTTTTCTCGTTTTTTGTGGTAGTGATTCAGAGAAGCCCGTTTCAATGACGAATTTCGATTGTCTTGATAATGGGCATAAACAACGATGGCTGGTTTTTATTTCATTCTGGAGGTCGGCAATATACTTGTCGTAATATTTTCCCTGTAAGGCTCACTTCCTTCTGGTGCAACCGGGGAGATATTCATTTAAGCAGAATGTCCCTTCCTTAGTAATTATGGTCAAATGAAGGAATGACCTTGACCAAGGCACCTGTTCCTTCCTGCATGAATTGAAATCCATAATGGCATTCCGTTCAAAGCATTGCTGATCCTCGTTATATGGTAATAACAGATATCGATAGGACGATCACGTATTGGTTTCCGTTCTCTCTAATTCCTACGTTCTTCATTCTTTTCGGAAGCATAAAGTCGTTCTTCCCAAAATGCGAGATCTGACCGGATTTGGGGCCAGGAAGCTCTGAACAGCAAGGATAGGCGAAAGGTTCTCGAGAAAATGCGAAACATGGTCAATGTAGATGATAGCACCAGAGATATAAGATGATGATGATGATGATGATTAAACCACCCTGAATAGCAATAGACAGGCGATGTAAGGTACAATAAAGGAGAAGATGGTCCATTGTATGCCTCCATGGAGAAGTAGGTTGGGAAGCTTGGTGCAGAAAGCTCCTGGACATTACTGTTTAAAGAAGTGAAGAAGTAACAGTGAATATGTATTAGGCTCCAGATTATCATAACATCATGACCTGAAAATCAAAATATTCACAAACAAAACCAACCCTACCATAGCATACAAAACAATCCCAAAAAGATACAAAAGAGATAGAACAAAAACTACGTCTCTGTCTCGACATCCGGCTCCCTCCCCGCCAAATCCCCTGTAAACTTCTTCCCAACCTTTCTCAGCGCATACTTCGCCTCGTCCTTTGCAAACGCCACATTCCTTGCCGGCTTCCATTGCATCAGACCGCGTTGCTGACGCTCATCGGTGCGTTTATTCGCCTTCTTTGTCGCTTTGTCGGCTTTGTTGCCGTTGGAGTTGTTGCTGGTGTTGCTGGTGCCATTGGTTGTGGTGCTTATGGTTGTAGGGGCGTCTTCTGTTTCTGTTGAGGATTGGGTCTCGGAGTCTTCGTCATGCTCGTTGTCGCGTCCCTGACTATACGTCTGGGCCTTGCCGGACTCCCGTGTCTGTTGCTCTTGGGTTTCCTCGGTCTCTTGGAAATGGCTAGTCCCTGGTGCTTGTGCTTCAACCGGTGGCGGGACAACAGGGTCATGAGGCGGCTTATCACGCCCCGGCTCGGCGACCTTCCGTCCTTTATGATCCGTGTAAGCACGGGGATCATCACCGAAAGCACCACTCCAGTCAATACCTTGCTTGTCAATCCAACGCTTGCGCTCCTTCGGATCCGCGTGCTTGAGCACGTCGCGTCCATCCATGAGGGATCGCTCATGCAGCTGCTCCACTTCCTCGGGGACTTCGGCGATGACGTTGCCTGTGCGCACGCCTTCTGCGACGCAGGCTTCCCATGACTCGTAGGTCTCGCGGGAGTTGTTATCGACAACGAATTGCTCGTGGGACTCGTCAATGCCTGGGCTGAAGCGGCCGTTGAACTTGAGACGGCCGATCTCAGTCAGGTCTTGGAGACCAGGTACCTCCTTGGCTTTCCAGTTTGTCTCCGTGATGTAATTCTGCGTAAGGCGGGCACCTTTCTTCGTCGACCAGATGGGGATGTCCATAGGAGTGTCTTCGTTGTCGATGAGGTGCTGGAGCCAGAAGACCGCGAAGCCAGCTGCGTGGTGCTTGCCCTGCGTGTGGAGCTCGAACACCACGGGGCTGCGATAGCGGTGCTTCACAGGGAGACAAAGCTGGTGTCTTTGTGCTGTTCTGCTGGTGAGGTCGAAAGTAGCACTGCTGTTTTCGAGGTGGCATCCGTGACGTGGGAGCTTCCCGCTGCTACCTCCCGTGCGGAGCTTGATCTTGCAGTAGTGATTGAAGCCTTCTGCGATGAGCTTGTTCGAGGTGAACTCGAACGTTCCAACGTCCCAGCCCAGCATCTGTGGAGGCAGCTTGGTCTCGACATGGCGGAGTAGGAGGGAGATGCGGATGCGGCCGAATCCTACTCCGCCGTCAAGAGGGTACCATCGTGTAGACTGTGAGCTGTTCTGGAGGATGTCGGAAAGCTTCAAGGGCACTACGCCCAGGATGGGGTCGTGTTCGCGATACCGCTGGTCGCGGACAGTCACGGTGACTACGGCAGATCTCCAGTCGCGAACGAACCGCTCGGTTCCGGCGTTGAAAATTGGCTTGGAGCTCACAGCTTTCGCTCGAGTGCGGTAGACCTGTTTATGTAAGTTCCTGTTTCATTCTTCTATAGTATCAAACATACCAATTGGTCATTGAGAATAATCTTGCAATAGCTGGTTGGCAACTCGCCACCCTGCTCTTCAGTATTCTCACCGTACTTCCTAGCCGGTTCATACTCTCTTCCTTTCCGATTCCCATGGCTACCTTTGATATCGACCAGCTGCAGATTCACAATCTGGTGTACAATGATACTCAGGATGCCACTGGGCCAGAGAGGATCCGGGGGCGTTCGAACGATCGCATCTTCTTCTTCGTTGCTAATAACGCCCTTCTCATCTTGGAATTCCGGGATACCTTGCATGTTCTCCGGCAGGTCCTTCTTCTTGCCATCGGTGATCAATTCAGGCCTCAATCTAGGCTTGCCAAAGAATCCAACTTCCCAGTGCAGTTCACCCGGCATTTCGCTGCCCTCGCTCAGGCCCTGCAGCTTGGATACCTGGGGATACATCCGAGCCGGGTGCTGGAGCATTTCACGAATTGGGAGTTCGACCTTGCCAACGATGTCGTCGGCAGTGGTGCGGTCAGAATCCCAGAGTTCGACACTCAGGCTCTCATCAGCCTTGATCAGTTCCGGAGTGACGAGAAGCGCAGCAGTTTCCTCCCAAATAGGATTGAGGTCATCTGTGATCACACGCGTACAGTACATAGGCTTTCCATATTTGGAGAAAGACAGGTTGATATAGGGGTCGCTGCCCCCACCCTCGCTGCCACGGGTATCCTGCTTGCTCAGCCCAACGGCACGGTGGATGCGAACCCACATGATACCCAAAGCTTGAGTCTCTTTGATAACATCATCACCCTTCAACATCATACCCAGGTCCATTGTCATCGACTTGGGAGCGGCAAACATGCTACAAGCGGTGCCAATGGCATAGTTGACGAAGTTGGAGATCAAGGGAAGGTTCAAGATGTTGACACCGCCGCGGACCATGGGCATACAGCCAGCCCGGACATGGGGAATTCCCACCAAACTGAAGGTCACATCTTTCATGAATGGAGCCTCGGGCATCATCTGAAACCGCAAGCGTACTGTCCCAACCATTTCAATTAATTCCACGAAAACGGGGAATGGTACGCCAAAGAGACCCCGGCTTCCCAGGTAGAAGACGAGTTGCATGTGCATGTTACGCGCTTTGGATGAAGCGGATTGGGTACTCGGTTTCGCGTGGTAAGCAAATGATGCTTCGAGGTTGTAGTAGCTGCCACCCTCTTCAGCAGCGGCAGCTTCTTGTGGGTCTTTCTTCTTGTTCTCCTCGTGAATATTCTCTTTGAGGTTCTCAACGTGGTCGTCCGGCAGAGCGCGCATGCTCAGGATTCGTAGGGGGTTACTTCCTTGGTCGATCTCGGCGATGCGCACGTTTTCAATCACGCCCGGCGAGGACGCCTGCATAATATCCTCAATGGTATCTCCAACGGGGGACAGCATCTCTGGGTTAACGAGTCCCCAAAAGACACCAAGGAAACTGTTCATCCACTCGACTGATTCGGGAAGGAGATTTGCCGTAGCCTAGACGATCCAGTCAGTGTGGTCCTCAATGCATAGAGACAAAGGGCACAGTACCGTCTGTCCTCGGAGCTGCTCACTGCTCCATTCTAATTCCCGGCCACTTCGAATGACCTCCTTCATCCACAGCCATACGGCTGATGTGATGCAAGCAGCCAATGGCACCAATCCCCAGAGGGAAGCACCAAACATTCTACCGACAAATAAGATTCCTATTGTAAACCCCAAGCACATCCCTGTCGCACGATTTTCCAGATGCTCGAACATGGGCTTAAACGAAATCGCCGGGGTAGGGTGAAAGAGGACGTTTGTTCTCTCGCCTCGAATGGGGACATCGGATGTTGTTCCTTCAGCGACGGGATCTGGAGGGGCCGTGACATCTTGTGCTTCTTTGTATTTTTCGTAGCTTTGGTTCGCGTCGGTTTTGACGCTCTGTGCTGGTCAGTTCCGGTCATTCTTCGATCGCTGGCGAGTGTACAACTCACCGTTTCCTTGCCAATATTGGCATTCGGAATCGCCAACTGACCCATTATTAGCAAACTACCGACATCCCCTGTCTAGAAGTGACATACCGTCGGATTCTTAACCGGATCCATCGAATCCTCATCCTGATCCTCAACCTCGATGTCGCGACCCGTTATCGGATCTGTAACCATCCTAGTCTTTCCCTTGGGGATCTCCCGATTCTTATGAGCAGCCGTCTCATCGTCCAGCTTTTCTCCGCGTGCCTCTTTCTCGCGACGCTGCGTTTCTTGTTTCTTCGTGATCTCTTCTTCGTGGGCTTTTCGTTCGTGTTTCTCGGTGTCGAGATGTTGCATGAATTTCTGGATGGTGGGCACCGGGTTGGCAGCGCTCCAGTGCTCACCTACCCGGTGTTGTTTGGGGGAATGGGGCCCCTGCCCGTTGGTGGTCATGTTGGTGGATTTATCGGTGGTATCGTGTTAAGGGAAGGGTAGATTCGGAGGTGGTGTGTATTTGACAGATGGCATTGGTTCCCTCCCAGCGCCGGCCAAAGCTAGGATAT